ACATAGGGTCGCTATGAGTCACAAACAACTCAACAGCACATAACAACAACAAACAACACTATAAAGTCAGAATCAGAGAGTTGAAGAGGGAGTTTTCAGAGCCAGTTAATCTTACTGGCGGAGATTGCCCATACTTCTCCCACAGAGTAGCGAGTGGCCTCGAACTGCATGCCCTTGGAACTGCCATGCAGCTTCTCACCACTAGGCCACCAGAGCTGCCTGTAAACCATGTGGCAGTTCTTTTATGAGAGTTTCTTTGCCTCCACTATCTCTTCTCTCTGTACTCTCCTTCCTTTCTGTCCATCTACCAGCCTCTGTGGGATTGGCTAACCTTCTCATCCATTAAGGCATGGCCTCCTGGCCAGGACCATGAGCTGACCAATCCTGTCTCAATAGGCCACAGACGATTCTTCTGCATACCCTGCTGGCCAGTCAATCATTGTGAAGTGTATGCCAATCATCAGGCAGGCTGCAGCCCAAGACTAGACAAAAACTATCCAACCACAAGTTGTTTACAGTTTACCCAGGAAATGTCAACCAACCTGGTCAAAAGCAATAGACCCTCTGAGGGAGAAAATCAGGGTAAGGCAACTCCTCAAGTCTTTCTTGTTGTTAGGTGTCATTGGCGTTAACAGAACTCAAAGTGATCCTGTGAACAATGGATCTGAATCCTGTTCTATCCTGTACCATCATTATTCTCTCTGGTGCACTTGAGCCCTTTGCTACAATCTCTGTGTCACTTTATCTTTTTAAGGCTCTCTCTCCCTTGTGCTGACCTTTCCAAGCATGATGTCCTTCTTGAAGGACAGGCCCCTCCCAACAAAATGTCCAAGGTATGTGAGATAAAGTTTCAGCAAGTTTCTCCAAAATCTGTTTGTTCTCCTGGCAGTCTGTAGGATATTCAGTGCTCTTCTCCAACATGAAAATCAAGGCCAAAGGCCATGTAATGTCAAAGATTGTTTGTTCAAAATATCTTCCTTCTTGCTGTTGTTGTTATTACGTGCCTTGGAGTTGCTTCCAACTCATAGCAACCCTGCGTACAAAAGCCCTGAAACCTATTCTTTCCTATCCCAACCTATTGTCTCTGAGACAACCACCCTCATTACCCCAGTCACTGAATCAATCCATCTCATCAAGGATCTTCCACTCTTGCCTTGTCCCTTTACCCTTCCAAGCATGATGTCCCTCTTCAAGGACTTGATTAAGTGTTTGCTTTATGAGGAAAAATGCAAGCCCTGCACTACTAAAGGCCTATATAAGCATAGCTGGCCCACTGCTCACAATCTCTGCAACACCAGCCTGCATCTCCCACAGTCAAATGAGTCATTTCCCTAATGGATTTGAGTCTCTGTGAGACCTTCCAGTGAACCATTGAATCAAGGAACAGAGAAGTGTGGCAACTAAATGGAGGAGAGAAAGCTGGTGTTGGAAATCAGGGAGTGGAGCAGCAGATCAAACATTTGGGACACTGTTGAACTCTCCCCTTTTGTAAGGAGCCTGCTGCTAATCTTAGCAGAACAGATTTTGGGAGGCTGCACAGTGGGGTGCTGAGGTCCCCACAGGGCAGCAAGGCTGGTGGCTGGGTGGCCACCAAAAGACAGAGAGGAAGGGCCACAAAGACCAAAAAGCCTACAGCACCCGTTATTCCCAGGCAGTTTCCCTACAGCACCCGTTATTCCCAGGCAGTTTCCCATCCAGTAACCAGGACTGACCCTGCTTAGCGTCCAAGATCAGACCAGACTGGGAGCAGGGCACAAAAAGGAACTCTTTCACCACAAACACAAGCACAAGCACCAGGGCTTCAACATCATTTGAAGGGGACACAATTCAGCTGTGTCAGCATTTTAAAAAACCAAACTAGCGGCTTTGTTCACAATAGCAAGAAGTTGGAAACAACCTAAGTGCCCATCAACAAACGAATGGATAGAGAAGCTGTGGTATATTCACACAATGGAATACTGTGCTGCATTGAAAAACAAGGAACTAATGAAATATTACTCAAAATGGGTGACCCTGGAGGACATTATGCTGAGTGAAGTATCTCAGTCACAAAAGGACAAATACTGCATAGCGCCACTGGGACTAATGGGACTGACATCAGGGTTGGGGTAAGACTGAGGAAAACTGGATAAATTATGTCTACTGCATTGTAACAGATGAGGGAGAGAACAGTTTAAAAGCGATATATGATAGGGTATTATGGTTATTACGGGAATCCAGAATTAAGGTTGCATAGTGGAGTGCATTCAGGGCGGGGCGGGGGGATTGTATACCAATGAAGAAATTTATCTTTTGGTTTTCGAAGAGAGGAGCAAACTTGGGGGGCGGGGGGTGGAGGGTAAAGAAAAAAAGTGCAACAATGAATGAATGGAAATGCAAAATCTCTGTAAATGTTCATTAAAATTAATAAAATAAAATTTGGGGGGTAAAAACAAAACTAACCAGTTGTGATGTCAACTTCATTTGATGAAGTAAAGTCCAATCCACAGGGCACCCATGTGTCAAAACAAAGCTGCTCTCCAGAGGTTTTCCCCTCAGTATATCACCAGATTTTTCTTGCCGGTTGTCTTGCTAAATGTAAGGACTATCTTGCTAAATGTAAGAACTCTGAAGCATCTACTCTCCAAAATCTCCATGGAGATTTACCCTAAAGAAATGAGAACTCATCTTTGCGCCAACTCCTGTATACACGTGTCTATACCCACAACCATCCAAAACTGGGAGCAACTCAAATGTCCCTCAGCCAGTGCGGAAACAAATGAACCATGGTTCATCCTGACAAGGAGCGCTGCTCACCAGGGAGAGTTCCCCACTCCTTCAACGGATAGACCCAGGATGGGCCTCCAGGATGCTGTGGAAGAAGCTCATGCATATTTCCACTCAGAGAACATTCTGGAGAAGGCAGGAGCAGCAAATAGAAGTAGTGGCTGATTACAAAGAAGTAGTTCTTGTTGTCTTGTGCCCTTGAGTCAGAACCGACTCACAGCTGACCCTTTGGTGGGTTTCAGAGACAGTAAATCACATGGAAGGAGACTACCCATCCTGCTGCCTTGGAATGAAACCACATGCCTTTTGGAATTGCAATGTAGCTTCATAACTTGGGCCACCAGAGCCCCCTACAAAGAAGTACAGGAATCTAAAACAGAAGCCACTGTTATGCTAACTCATGATGGTCCTCTGGTGAGTTTCAGGGTGGTGGTGTTCTTAGGTGCCATTGAGTTGACCATGACTCATCGTGACTCCATGAACAACAGATCTGAACCTCACCCTTTCCTGCATCATCCACATCATCCCTGATATGCTTGAGCCTATTGTGACAGTAACTATGTCAGCCTGTCCTGTTGAGTCTTACTCTCTTTCCCTGATCCTCCACCTTTCCCAGCATGATGTCTTCTTCCAAGGACTGGCCGGCCCCTCCTCACAACATGCACTAAGGACATGAGATGAATGTGTCACCATCCTTGCCTCTAGGGTTCACCCTGGTCACACTTCCTCCAAGACAGGCTTGTTTGTTCTTTTGGCAGTCCATGAGGTATTCAGTGCTCTTCACCACCACCGCTTCTTCTGTCATCCTTATTCATTGTCCAACTTTTACACGCATAAGAAGTAATTAGTCTTTAAACTGACAGTAATTAGTCTTTAAAGTGCTCTTTAGCACTTTAGAGAAGTCCTTGACAGCCTATTTTCCCAGTGTAACACATCTTCCAATTTCTTGACTGTTGCTACCATGAGTATTAATCGTAGAGCCAAGTAAAATTAAGTTACTGATAACGTCAATCTATTCTCCATCTGTCATAACATTGTCTATTGGTCCAGTTTTGAGGATTTTTGTTTTCTTGACATTGAGATCTAATCCATATTGAAAGCTGTCTCTCTTCACTTTCTAAAAGCATGATGGTGTATACTGTATAATGCAAGTTGTTGATGAGTTTTTCCGCTTCTTGAATGATTTGCTCACCATACAGATTGAACGTGTTCTGTGCCTTTGGAATTGGAGTGCAGCTTCTTACTACTAGGCCATCAGTTTCACAAGATTGTATTGTTGTTGCTGTTGTGTGCCATCAAGTTGGAACCGACCCATAGCTGACCCTCCAGTGGGCTTTCAGAGCAGTAAATCTCACTGGAGAAGATTGCCCATTTTTCTCCCACAGAGCAGCTGGTGGGTTCAACCATCAGAGACGTGCTTCAGGAATCCGAGAGTCATATGGATTCCTTGGAAAGGGAGGGACATCCTGCTCAGAACGGTGGAGGGTCAGTGAAAGAGGAAGACCCTTGATGAGATGGATTGAAACAGTGAGTGCTGCAATGGGCTCTAGTGTGTCAGAGACTGTAAGGTTATCACAGAGCAAGGCAGGATACAGATCTGTTGTTCACAGGGTCACTATGTGTCATACTTGACAGCACCTACCAACATCAACAGTATGAGTTGGAACTGACTGGGCAGTAGTAAGTGACAATTTATGTGGTGTCTCACAGAATCGAAATGGACTCAACAAAGCCCCAACAAATTTTATTGATCATGTTCAATTGAAGGTCACAGAAAAAAAAAGTTTTTTTATGAGGTTTAGAATAGTAGCCACCATAACAAGCTCACACACTTAACCACAAAGGTGCCACGGGACTGGGTACCACTCAATATATTGTCCTCAACACAATGGCAATGTGTTGTTATCAGTAGACCTGATTGAAAATCCTGTGGATTGGTGGTGTTGTGTACCGTCAAGTCAGACCGACCCACTGCTGACTCTCCAGCAGGTTTGCAGAGGCTGTAAATTGCACTGGAGATTGCCAGTATTTCTCTTATGGAACAGATGGTGGATGCAAACTGTGTACCTTTGCATTGACAGCACAATTCCTTATCATTAAGCCACCAGAACTGATCATCAGAAGGCCACCAAAGAATTGATCCCTTTGAGCTATGGTGTTAGAGAAGAGTGCTGAACATCACTTGGACAGCCAAAAGAATATGTCTTGGGAGGTACAGCCAGAGTGCTGAAGACGATAGGCTTTGCCTCACTTAATTCAGGTATGTATGTTGCTAGGAGGGACTATTCCTTAGAGGATCAGCGAAGGAGAGGAAGACCCTTGGCCACGTGAATTGCCACAGTGACTACCGCAATGGACACTAATGTTTCAGGAAGTAAGAGATTGGCACAGGATAAGACAAGGTTCAGATCTGTTGTTCATTGAGTCACTATCAGTAGTATTCTACTTGACCGCACCTAACAATAAACCACCAGAACTCCCTCCTCTGGATTACTTGCTGGAAGTGAGGAGGAATATAAGTGCTCCCTCTAAGTCCCTACTGGAAAAGCTAGACCACCTGTCCTGAAGCTGGCAGGTTAGGATAAGAACAGAGCCCCCAGGATGAATGGGGGAGCACCTTTTCCCGAGGCCATGCATGGAATGGTCCCAGCCATCGAGACTTCTCGAGGTGGACGGGTACTGAGCTCAGACACTAGGCTTGAGGTTACCCGTCCAGGCCCCAAAGTGGGGGCTCCTACCCTTTAGGACTCTGTGGAAGAGGAAGACACCAGGGGAGACACTCATAACCAGCAGGGATGCCACATGGGTGCTGAAAGCAGATCTCCATCACCACCCTTGCCACACACACACAAATGTCCTCCAGGAGGATCAACCTGGGCCAAGGCCAGGTCCCCCGCCCTCCTGTCACCCACTCCACTCTTGGGGGCCGGGGTGAGGTCTGGCACAGAAGGTCCAGGACAGGAGTAGGGAGTGGATACCACTGCAGCACACAACAAGGGCTACTGGGTCTGCCTTAAGTGCAAGGGCCTGTCCCTCTGATCCACAGGGCCCATGACCTGCCACCCCATAGCCAAGTGGCCAAGCTGGACTTGGAACTAGGTGGCCAGCACACAACCAATGGGAGGCATTCTGCAATCATTAAAAAGTTGCATAAGCAGAGGGAATGGTCACAAGGACACTGGACAAGAGGCTGCCCAGGACACAGAGGAGGGAGGGACAAGGGAGAACAGCTCTGGAAATACCAGTGACCTTGGGGGTACCTGCTAATAACTCACTCACCAGCCCTCCCTCTGTTGTCCACCATAGGGGCTTCTCCCTCCCTCCCAGGCATCCCTCAAAAAACAGTCGTCCACCCACAGAAATGCCATAGGGTCCAGCAATGGTCTATGATCAGATCTTTTAATTGTACATGTGTCTCAGGTCCTCTGTAGGGGGGAGAACCCCCTTCCTCACTTGAGTCCTCGATACGTGGTTACAATCTGGCGTCATGGTCCATTGTCGGTGAGAGGGTGGACGAAGAAGGGATGCAGCCTCCTCAGGGGAGGGCACTTAGACCTGGGGAGAGAAAAGGGGCCAGTGTGGTCAGCTAATGGATAAAGAGGGGAGAGGGTTCCCCCACCTGGCTGTCCCCTTGCTCACCATGGTTGTATTTGCACTGCTTCAGGGCCTCGCTGAATCCCTCACACAAGGTCAGGTCACTCTGGGTGGTTGAGCAGTCCAGGAACTGCCTGATCTCATAGGCACAAGGCCCCAGCTGTTGGGGCTGTGGAGTGCCACGTGTGGGGACCTGGTGACAGAGATAGGGTCTCCATACACCCAATCTGGGTCCCCCCAGCAGGGTGAACAAGCATGGGGGTGGGAATAGTGGGGAGGAGGCTCTAAAACATCCCAGGTCCTGGCTTTCCTCTCAGGTATGAGTCTCTTCTGCAGCCATTCTCGAAACCTTCCAGGTTCAGCCACACTGATCCTGTCTCCAGAACCCCTGATTTAGCAGCAGAGCGCTCTCTGGCTTAAGTAAGGACTGGAGGTGAGGGGGGAGCTGGGAGGCCGGAAGCAGGTAGGTCAGCCAGAATCGGCCTCAAGGTCACCAGCTGCCCAGTGCCCTTGGGGAATGGCCTCGCAGGACCAGGCATGGGTGTGGGGGCACAGGGGATACGGAGTCTTTCTCCCTTCTCTGCTGGGTTTAGGTGACCTTGAGTTGCCTTTGAGGCCTGGGACCCGGTTTCCATCTTTAAAGGCACAATGTTCGTCCTCCTGTTTCCCCTGCACCCCAGGCTCACCTGCTGGGTGGTAGGCTGCGCAGGAGGCTCCGAGCTTCCCCCGCTGAAGGCTCCGGTCAGGGCACTGCCCACCACGTGTCCCACGGCCGAGCCCACGGCCACCCCGGCGGCAGTGGACGCCATCTGGGCCATGAGACCTGGCTGTCCTGAAGCCACGGGGGCCGGGGCCGGAGCCGAGGGCTGTGCAGGTGCGGGCGGGCGGGCGGCAGGTGCCGCTGGACGGCTGCGGAACGGGACATAGTGACTGCAGGTCGAACCCCCAGCCCCTGCGGGTCCCAGACACCCCCCTCGTCCCACTCATCCCCACCCCCGCACATGGTGACAGGATCCCTGCCCTTTCCCCCACCAAGATGGCGGGGAAGCGGCCAAGGTCACCCTGGGCCTCCCCGGAGAGTATCCACGCCTCCCGGGGTCCTGTCCTGTAGCCCCCGCGGCCCCACCTAGCTGGCCGGGCAGCCACGCTGCGGCTTCCCCGGGGCATCTCGGCGCAGGCAGGCGGGGCGAGCCGGCGAACTCAGGGGTGCTTCTGCCTCCCCGACTGGAGCGTGGCCGGGGATCGCGGATCCAGCAGGGGGCGGGCTGGGGGCGGAGCCTCGGCGACAACACGCTGACTGTGGTCACCGCCCCGGCCGGGGGCGGGGCCTCAGGGACGACAAGCTGGCTGGTCATGACCCCAGAAGGGGAAGGGGCCTTGGGGACCAGCCATCGTCCAGCAGGTGGCTGGTATCCCCTCTCCTCACATCTCCCGTGTGCGGCGGACTCCTGCCTCTGCTGGGAGCTTGATTCTGCCAAGCTGCGTGTCAGGGACATCTGACTACCTGCGTGGCCTCAGGTAGACAGAGTAGGGATAAAAGGACCTGAACAAGCCCAGGGACCAGTCTTCAAAAGCCCCACCACAAAGGCCACACCTGGATGCCCTGGATCTACTCGGACCTCCAGGCCCAAGTAGACCTGCGGCCGGCCTTGCCGCCTCCTGCCATCTGGGAGGTTGTGGATTTTCTGCTTCTTTTCCCAGTGTCTTTGTAACTGTCAGGTTGTTTATACCCGTTGGGAGAGTCTGATGTTTTGGAGAAAGTGCAACCAGGAGGCAAGCGTGGTGAAACTTCATCTCACATAGTTTGAGCGTTTGTGTCAACATCTAAGAAAAAGAAATCATTCTGGGAAAGGTGGTGGGGTCAGAGAAAAAGGAGAAAACCCTCAATAAGATTAACACAGTGACTGTAACAGTGTGCTCCAGTGTATCTGAGATGGTGCAGTTAGGGAAGAGTTCAGATCTGTAGTTTCTAATGTTACTATGAGTGGTAACAGACTTGATGGTGGGAGCTCTGGTGGCCTTAGAAGCTGACCTGCATCCTGAAGGCACACGGCTTGGATTCACTAGCTGCTCCATGGAAGAAGAATGGACTCTCCTCCTGTGGGATTTACTGTCTCAGAAAATGTTGAAGGGTCAGCTATGGTTTGGTTCCAACCAGACGACACACAACAGAGTCAATGGCCCCTAACAACAAAATCAGCAACACTGAATAAATGTTGGTGGCTCAACCCACCCAGTTGCACAGAGAAGGAAAAGACTGGTGATCTATTTGTAGAGATCACAGCCAAGAAAATAGCGTGGAACAGTTCTCTGTAATGCCTACAGCTGTGCCTCTGAGATGGCTCTGTGCCGGAAGGTAGGACAGGGAGACCTGCTGCCTGTGTGTGTCTTTAAGTGGCTGCTTGATTAGGACAGCTCTGCTGTGGGCACCTTGTATCACAGGCCACATGAGTGTAGGGTGAGGAGGAAGGATTGCGTGCCCTCATAGAGACCTTACATGACAGAGGAGACTGCCTCAAGGCTGCCATCCCCACCCACCACTTATTTAATTATTTATTTGGAGGAGAGCTTACACATCATACTGGTTTCTAATTCACATGCATTTTGCTTTTTAACACTGTAATGGCAATTTCAATTAATCACTCAGACACATTCTATTTTATAACATGAATTACCTATGATGGAATGTTGTTGTTGTTAGGTATCATAGAGTCGAGTACGACTCATTGCGACCCTATGATCTGAACTTTGTCCTATCTTATGCCATCTTCACACTTTCTGACACACTAGAGACCATTGGAGCAATCACTGTGTCAATCCAACTGGTCAAGGGTCTTTCTCTTCTTCGCTGACCCTCCACCCTTCCAAGCTTCATGTCCCTCTCCAACGAATAGCCCCTCCCAGCAACATCTCCAAAGTATGTGAGGCAAAGCCTCATCATCTTTGCCTCCAAAAAGCACTATAGCTGCACCCTTTCCAAGACATATTTGTTTTTTCTTTTGACCGCCCGTGGGATGTTCAGTGCTCTTCTCCGAACACCACAGCACAAAGGCATCAAAGGCATCAATTCTTCTTCTGTCAACCTTATTCATTGTCCTGCTCTCAGATGCACAGCAAGTGTTCAGATCATGGCCTGAATCAAACACCTCTGATTAATTGCAATGTCTAAACAACCTCTTATAACAGATGTTGCCTCTCCCTTGTTGTTGTTGTTATGTGCCATCAAGTCACTTGCAACTCATAGAGATCCTATGTACAACAGTCCTGAAATATGCTCTATCCACCTACTCTCATTACCTCAGTCATTGTATCAATCCATCTCATTGATGGTCTCCCTCTCTTTCTCTGTCCCTCTATACTTCCACTTTACTATGCAACTCTTATTCTGGACTGTTCTCATGCAAATAATAACTAATCATATATTCCATTTAAACAGTTCTCTCCCTTATCTGTGTCAATGCAATGTATATTATTTATCCCCTCTTTTCTTAGTTTTCCCCCAAATCCTCATGTAAGTCCTGTTTTAGAACAGTGACATTATGCAGTATTTGTCCTTTTGTGACTGAGATATTTCACTCAGCATAATGTCCTCCAGGGTCACCCATTTTGTATATTTCATGAGTTCCTTGTTTTTCAATGTTGCACAGTATTCTGTTGTGTGAATATACCACAGCTTCTCTATCCGTTCATTTGTTCATGGGTACTTGAGTTGTTTCCATCTCTTTGCTGTTGTGAACAAAGTCACAATAAACATGAGCATGCATATATCTGCTTGTGTGACAGTTCTGGTTTCTTTAGGGTATATTCCCAGTAGTGGAATTGCTGGGTCAAATGGTATTTCTATTTCCAACTTTTTGAGAAAGCACCATATCACCTTACAGAGTGGTTGCACCATTTTATACTTCCACTAACAGTGAATAAGGGTCCCAGTTTCTCCACGGCATTTGTTGTTTGACAGCAGACTTTCCCAGTGCAATTTGTCTCTTGATTTCCTGGCTGCTGTTACCAAGAGTGTTGATTGTAAAGCTAAGCAAGCTAAAACTGTTAATAATCTCAATCTCTTCACCATCCATCATGATGATGCCAATCAACCCAATGGTGAGAATCTTTGTTTTCTTGATGTTGAGCATTAGTCCATATTGAAGTCTGCAGTCCTTGACCTTCTGAAGCAAGCGCTTCAGGTCCTCCTCAGTTTCAGCAAGCAGGGTTGTGTCAACTGCATAATGCAGGTGGTTGATAGATCTTCCACCAATCCTGATGCCACATTCCTCCTCATACAGCCCAGCATCCTGGATAATCTGTTCTGCACAAAAATTGAAAAGGTATAGAGACAGAAAACATTCCTGACATACATCCTTCCCAATTTTGAACCATGCAGTGTCTCCTTGCTCTGTTCTGATGACTGCCTCCTCGTCCAAGTATAGACTTCACATAAGCCAATCAAATGTTCTGAGATTCCCATTCTTCTCAGAGTCAGCCACAGTTTATTGTGATCCACACAGTCAAATGCCTTTGCATAGTCAATGAAACACAGATAGACATTCCTCTTGTCCTCTGCTTTCAGTCAAGATCCATATAACATTAGCTGTAATATCCCTAGTACCACAGCCTCTTCTAAACCCAGCCTGCATATCTGGCATTTCTCTGTTGATGTGCTGTTCCAGTAATTTTTGAATGATTTTCAGCAGAATTTTGCTTGTTGTAATGGTAATGATATTATTTGATAATTTCCACACTCTGTTGGCTCACTTTTCTTTGGGATGGGAACAAATAGAGATCTCTTCCAGCCAGGTGGTTGTCCTCCAGATTTCTTGGCACAACTTGGTAAGCACATCCAGGGCAGCATCTGTTTGTTGAAATATGTCAGTTGGTATGCTGTCAATTCCTGGAGCCTTGTTTTTTGCAAATTCTTTCAGAGTAACTTAGATAATAGTAAATACAAATAGCTATTCATCTCTTTTATTTTGGTCATATTGTTTGGAGAGGCTATTCCTTGGAAGGGAACATCATACTTGGGAAGATAGAGAATCAGCAAAAGAGAAAATTCCCAATGAGATGAATTGACACAGTGACTGCAGCAATGGGCTCCAGTGTGTCAGAGATGATGAGAATGGCACAGGATAGGAAAGGATTCAGATCTGTTGTTCATAGGGTTGCTATGAGTATTCCTGAACTTGACAACACTGATCAATACTTTTTATCACCCCATCTCATTATGTTTATACTACACCTTGCCTTTTCTTTACCCCCACTCTGTCCATCTGTACACTAATCTCTGTTGACATCTAGTGGGGTTATTACCCCTCTGTCTTCTTCCACATCCTCTTCTCCACTTCCCCTGTTTCTTTTGAACAATTATATATACTATGTTCCTATTTGCTTATTGCAATAGCCAGATTGTCCTTTCATCAGTTCTTCCCAGATTGACTCCCTTGTTTTGCTCCTTTTTAGTGTCCATTGCCTGTACATTCTATCTCTGGTCTCCTGATTCCCCACACTCCCAAGTTACCCTCCTGTTTTCACAGTAGCAGTCTTAGATGGTATTTGTCTTTTCTTGACTGAGTTATTTCACTCAATATAATGTCCTCTATACCCTTTCATGTTGCATAGTATTTTACAAATTGATTGTTCTTTAGTGCTGCATAGTATTCCACTGTGTAAATTTACCACCATTTCTCTTTCCATCTGTTTGCTGATGGGCATTTGAGTTGTTCCCATCTTCTTCTATCGTGAGTAATGCTGCTGTGAACATAGGTGTACACACATTTGCTCATGTATCAGCTCTGATTTCCTTGGGGTATATTCCCTGTAGTGGAATAGCTGGAGCATATGGGATTTCTATATTTATCTCTTTTTTATCACAATAAAGAACTTTTATTAAACAATACATTCTGGTTTTCACAGAAGGAGGGCTGGGACTCAGAGGCTCATATAATTCAGTTGGTTTTGTTTTGTTTTGTTTTGTTTTTTCCCATTCATTCACAGTTGCACTTTTCTCCCTGTCCACCCCTCCCACCCAGTTCGCTCTTCTCTTTGAAAAGTAAAAGAAAAATTCCTTCATTGTTATACAATTCCTCCCCCCAAGTCCACTCCACTATGCAGCCTTCATTCTGAACTCCTGTCATGACAATAATACCTAATCACATATCCCTTTAAACAGTTCTCTCCCTCATCTGTTTCAGTGCAGTATACATAATTTATCCTATCTTTCTCAGTCTTCCCCCAACCCCGATGTCAGTCCCATTTTACAACAGTGGCACTGTGCAGTATTTGTTCTTTTGTGACTAAGATAGTTCACTCAGCATAAAGTCCTCCAGGGTCACCCATTTTGAATAATATTGCATGAGTTCCTTGTTTTTCAATGTCACATAGTATTCCATTGCGTGAATATACCACAACTTCTCTATCCAGTCGTTTGTTGAAGGGCACTTAGATTGTTTCCAACTTTTTGCCACTTAGGTTGTTTCCAACTTTTTGCTATTGTGAACAAAGCCGTGATAAACACGGGTATACATATATCTGTTTGGGTGGCAGTTGTGATTTTCTTTGGGGTATATATTTATCTAGTATTGGTGAGATGAGATGGACTGGCATGGGGCATTTTGAGTCGGATGACCATATGATATATTACTCTGGAGATGAAAAAGTGAGGAAAAATGGA